GTCTCACTTAGAGTCATTCCTTCAGCATGAATATCATGCATAATCACTTGAAGCTCTTGAACTTGATTTAAGACGGTCTTTGAATCAACCATCTTGAAGTCCAGAAATTTACCGACAATGAATTTCTTCAATCCGGCATCTTCGGTTTTGTATTTCTTGTCCAGACTATCCCATAACTCCTTAGCCGTTTTTAGCGGACTATAGACGTTATAGAGAGTATTGTCCAGACCGTTGAGGACATAGTTGCGACACAGGAAGTCAGAATGATTCCATGCATCCACAGCAGCCAACTTTTCTTTATTTGTCTCTCCAACGTCCAATTTAGGACCATCCTCATTGAGGAATCTAGCCAAGTTCAAGGTCGTGAGATAGAACAACATTTTTGTTGCCATTTCTTGAAATCCATACCATTGAACTTTTCTGGCTTTTCTCCGTGATTCGGAATAGGGTTGACCGGAGTCGAAGTCGAAGCCATTTCTGAAATACAAAAACAGAACATATTCACGAACAGAATCGGAAATATATGACTACGAACAGAATCGTTTGTTCATGAACAGAATTGAAAATTTCCATACGAACAGAAACGAAATTTTTTTTTTCACGAACATAATTGAAAATTTGTAAGAAGAACAGAATGTATGAACAGAATGTGCGAACAGAATGTACGAACAGAATCGTATTCCTATACGACTATGACAAGGAACATACGAACTATACAAAAGTTCGACTTAAAGGAACGCCAATCTAGATATTTGACAGAAAAACTCAACGAACAACGCATAAGAATATACGAACAGAACCGAAGCAAATTCGTCTTAAGATTGTTGTCGGCTAAGTTCGTATACCAGAAATTAAAATCAAACGTTAGGAAAATTAACCTGAAAGCAGTACAACCAAATAAGCAAAATGTTGATCCGAGCCCAACGAAATAACGTCGTGTCCTTAAGACGAATTTGGCCCCTCAATCAGTACCCGAGGATATTGGACAATCGTCTCCCAGGATAGAACGGATCTCGTTCCTCCGAAGCGGTACGTATTCGGAGGACTCCTACGAACGCAATTTTGCAGAATAATCGCACAAAATGACAATGATGAAGTGAATATGCGTAGAGAATGTCTCGCGGGAATGCCGATGTCACGAAGTATCCTTTTATCGAACTAATTGTTCAGTCATATTAAAGTGGCGAAAATGAAGAGTTACGAGGGTTCGTGAACAGTAGCGAAGGCCCGAACCTCACGAACAGACATGTTTGTTTGTCCAAAAAATAAATAAATAATTAATTTCTAACAACGTGTCTGTTCGGAAAAAAAAAAACCGATAGAGAATGGACCCGGAACCGAGCCGACCGGACGGACGGCGGCGTGCGCGCGGGGGGGGGGGGGGGGGAACCGACCTAGCTTGACGTAGGTCCTCTCCCTTCCACAAAAGTGGGGTACCCCTTGGGGCCCAAACCCATTTGTGAGGCTCAACTATTTGAACCCATCTCCCATCTCTCTTCTATTCAATGTGGGACACTTTCATCCACACACTTTTCATTCAATTCTATGGGATTTGGATGCCAAAATCCCAACAATTCTATATATATTTATATTCATATTGATAAGTAACAGACATTTGAAGATGACTAACTAAACTAATGCTAATCGATTGAATGAGGGCCGTTTGGCTTGCCTCATGACGTTCATAGAGTAAAAGAAGAGTGTCACGTGACAAGCACAAGAGTGAGCATTCTCTCAGCTCCACCTTTGAATACATGAACCAGGTCATTATAAACAATATCGAAGCGACATCCTTACCGAATCATGCCACGATGAGCGTCCTTAGGCAAACAGGCATATATTAACATGCAAATTGTACCTAATTAGGATTGACAATCGACTAGGATATAGAGCAAGAAGTCTCTATCTAAGATTAAATACACGAATCTCAAGAATTGAAATCGCGAGTTTCCTCGAAACTCACATCAAATGTCGACAGCTAAATCTACAAAGGAGAAACATGGCATTCCATCGCCCACAATGTTTGGACACTGTCTTCTTGCCAGAAACGCACGACAAGTGTGGTTGTCCTCATTAGCTCGAAACGAATACAAAGTCAACATCGTCGACTCAAATCGATCGAAGGTATGATGCACAAAAGTGTATATCTCCCTCGCAAGCCAAGTGCGAGGTGACGCAATGCAACTTCCGGAACATGTTCCACATCCTAATCTGTTCTATATGTTTTCATGTCACTGTATGCTTGGCCCGCGAAGTCAAAATTTAACTATATCATGTTGTCACACTTAATTATGTAATTTATGAAATTTTGAACAATCGTCGCAACTTCCTTTTTTCTCTAATTTTTGGCAAAGTTGAAGAGGATGGATTTGAAAACAACTGACAACATCATTCTAAGGTTTCTTTATAACCATGTTTGCTTTCTAACACGTGTTAACAAGAACTAGGAGATAAGGGATAATGCTAAGTATGTACCGATGAGCTTATCGACCTAGATCTAGGGCTAATATTTTTCCACACGATCCATTCACATTACACGCGGCTGACCGTGTTAGTATGAAACCATATTATGTTCCTATAAAAGCAAGCCAGTCATTTATGCATGAACTATTGACATACCGTGTCCGGATCAATCCTCTTAATCCATTTTATGACGTGCTTAATCATATTATCTTAACATACTACTTGTACTTATAGGACACACTTAGATGCATGTAGCTACGTTTACGTGTACTTGAACATATTTTCACAAAATTAAATATAAAAGTTTATAGCCGAAGCGGTCAAACGTGTTGTTTCATCACCCAAATTTGACAATATATGAAGACATATTGTTAGTTCTACCTTCCAATATGCCACATCATTATTAAAATTGTTTGAATGTCTTCTCGTAGTCTGTCATATCACTTAATTTATTACTTTTATAGAGTCACGGTAAACTTAACACTACTTAATATTTAAACAAACAGCTTTAAGCCGCCGCACTTGTCTTTTGAAAAGCCAAATAAGCTTGTTTATGCTATGATTCTTAAGGCGTTTGCTTTGAGGAAGCACAACACTTCAAGAGCAGCTCATTTGCAGCAACAAATGATAGTTTTCATGACTGATAGCTTGAAAATTGTGCGCAGACAAAAGTTTCTAACTATTGCAAAGAGACTGCTTTCCTAATTCCATTTTGGCTTTTTATTGTTCCTTTTGAAAAGGCAGTTAAGCATGCTTATGCTATGCTTCTTAAGGTGTTTGCTTTGAGGAAGCACTACTCTTCAAGAGAAGCTCATTTACGATAACAAATGACTGTATTCATGACTGACAGCTTGAGAAGTCTTGGGCGGTGCAAAGATGAAAGTTCCTAATGATTGCAAAGAGATCGCTTTCCTAATCCCATTTCGGCATTTCATTATTCCTTTTGAAAAGCCAGATAAGCGTGCTTATACTATGCTTCTTAAGGTGTTTGCTTTGAGGAAGCACTACTCTTCAAGAGAAGCTCATTTGCAGCAACAAAAGACCGTATTTATGACTGATAGCTTGAGAAGTCTTGTGCAGTGCAAAGACGAAAGTTCCTAACAATTGCAAAGAGATTGCTTTCATAATCCCATTTTGGCTTTTCATTGTTCCTTTTCAAAAGCTAGATTGTTGCTCTTCAAGAGAAGCTCATTTGCGGTAACAAATGACTGTATTCATGACTGACAGCTTGAGAAGTCTTGGGTGGTGCCAAGATGAAAGTTCCTAATGATTGCAAAGAGAGTGCTTTCCTAATCCCATTTTAACGTTTCATTGTTCCTTTTAAAAAGCTAGATAAGCGTGTTTATGCTATGCTTCTTAAGATGTTTGCTTTAAGGAAGCACTACTAGAAGCTCATTTGCATCAACAAAAGACCGTCTTCATGACTGATAGCTTGAGAAGTCTTGGGCAGTGCAAAGACGAAAGTTCCTAACGATTGCAAAGAGATTGCTTTCCTAATCCCATTTTGGCTTTTCATAGTTCCTTTTGAAAAGCCAAATCGCTACTTTTCAAGAGAAGCTCATTTGCGGTAACAAATGACTGTATGCATGACTGACAGCTTGAGAAGTCTTGGGTGGTGCAAAGACGAAAGTTCCTAAGGATTGCAAAGAAACTACTTTCCTAATCCCATTTTTGCGTTTCATTGTTCCTTTTGAAAAGCCAAATAAGCGTGCTTATGCTATGCTTCTTAAGGTGTTTGCTTTGAGGAAGCACTACTCTTCAAGAGAAGCTCATTTGCAGCAACAAAAGACCGTCTTCATGACTGATAGCTTGAGAAGTCTTGGGCTGTGCAGAGACGAAAGTTTCTAACGATTGCAAAGAGATTGCTTTCCTAATCCCATTTTGGCTTTTCATTGTTCCTTTTGAAAAACTAGATCGCTGCTCTTCAAGAGAAGCTCATTTGCGGTAACAAATGACTGTATTCATGACTAACAGCTTGAGAAGTCTTGGGTAGTGCAAAGACGAAAGTTCCTAATGATCGCAAAGAGACTACTTTCCTAATCCCATTTTGGTGTTTCATTGTTCCTTTTGAAAAGCCAGATAAGTGTGTTTATGCTATGTTTCTTAAGATGTTTGCTTCAAGGAAGCACTACTCTTCAAGAAAAGCTCATTTGCAGCAACAAATGACCGTCTTCATTATTGATAGCTTGAGAAGTCTTGGGCAGTGCAAAGACGAAAGTTCCTAACATTTATGGAAAGGCAATGGGGCAAAAGCTCCCCCACACACCCTTAGTATACTTAGCACTATCTTTTTTTTTTTTTTCCTTTTTACAATTAGCACCTAAAGTTTGTTGTATGTCTCTTTAGGGCTTAACCTATTGTTGGACACTACAGCCCAAGCGGATCCGGGTCAAAACGGACCATATGGAGAAGCCCATAGAGTGGAGCCCATTTGCTGCCAATCGTGGGCCCATCACTGGAAAAGAAGAGAATCGATACAAAGAACTGACAATTGATAATTAATAACGAAAAATATAAAGAATTTTGCACCATTGAAATCAAAGAAAATAAAGAAATTCTTTTTCCAATTTCACCATCGAATCAACATATCTGGTTTTTCTATCTTTCCTGTACAAGAATTTGCATCAACCCCACAAAAAGCCCTATAGAAAGTATATATGGAATCCCAAAAACAACGAAAATTACAGCTGTTTTTGGACCTGATTATAGCATGACTCGTAAAAATAAATTTCACAAACTTTGGTCCCAAGGGAAATGAAAAAAAAAATTCATCATTTTCCTCCCACAATGCTTTTTACAAATAAAAAAAGAAAACCTTTTCACATGACCTACTTAGTACTCACTCCTTTGGCGAATTCCATGGCCCTACGGTCCTCGACTAATCATCTCCTTGAATTGATTCATCGACTCCTGTCTCTGTAACCTCATTTCTTCTTTGAACTTGTTAATGAATGCTTCAACTCGACGATTCAGATCGTCCGGACTCAGCTCCTTCCTCAACTTAACGGGCAAGAGGGGTAGCTGCTGATTGGTCCGATCCTTGAACGTTGCCGATTTCTGCATCGAAGGAGGCGGCGACGGCGGCTCCGACAAGCTGATTTGGTGGTCGGTGTCGTTCGCTTTCACGCGCCGTGTCACCGACAGCGCCGTCCCCGCCCTCGCCACTGCCTGTGCCTCTGTTATCGCTTTCCAAACCTTCTCCATGTTTTCGTTCGAACTTCTTAAAGCTTTGCCCCCTATAATTAATACAAAGTGAATTACATTAATACAAAAAAATTAAATCTCACGCAAAAAAAAAAGCAATATTACGTGAATAGGTTGACTTCATTTCATAAATCCGTTGACCCAAATATCAAAAGACACAGTCCCGTCATCCTCGTCACTTTCTTGTTCGTACGTAATGCAAACTTCGAAATTCATATTCACCTCACTTTCGCCCTTCTTACCTTGCAGGTGGTCGCCGGCGGCAGCTTTCCGGCGAACGAGCCTCGACGGAACCAGAGCTTTCTCCGACGAGTCCACTCGCCTCCGCCGCGCCGACGCGGACCTCCCGAACGCCACCTTCCTCTCCCCTTCGCAGTCACCGTTATATCCATCTCCGCCGCCGGACCCCCCGCCATTCCCCGCCGCCACCACCGCCACCATCCTCTTCTCCTCGAAATCCTTAGACTCGTCGAACACCTCCTCCGCTGCGGCCGCCGGCGTCGCCTCCATGACCTCCATCTCCTCCGTACCCGTGAACGCGATCCTCTCCGGCTGCGCGCGGTGGAAGCACCTGGAGGTGGCGGCGATGGCGGCGATGATGCCGTTGACGACGATGAAGAGGTACGGAGGCCTGAACCACGAGAGGCGCGAGCCCAGCGCGGGCGGCAGCCGGGGACCCAGAGGCCCGGAGATCGATGGAACAGCGGCCCTGAGAGCGACGGCGGCGATGGACACCGCGCAGGCCGACACGAGCAGGGCTTTCAGGGACGCCATCAAGTCGCTCGACGACACCGTCTCGCGGATTGTTTCGGAGCAAAGTACGAGAGTGCGAGCTTTGCGAAGTGAAGTTTTCAGTGATGAAGAGCATGGGCTGGGAGTTCTGCACAGCTATATAAATAGACTGAAGACGAAGACGAAGACTGAGACGCAGACGCGGTTTCGGGGCGATTTGGAGCCGTCCGATCAGATCCGACGGTGGGCGTGGGGGGCGAGTGCGGTTGCGTGGCTTACCTGGGGACCCCACCTTGGGCCCACTCACTTTCTTTTGTTAAAAAAAAACAAAAAAAATTGGAATTAAATAAACTGCTTTTTCTTTTGACAAGTCGTAGCAAGAAGGACTAGAAAATTCAATTGGACGTTGACCCCCAGCCGATTGATTAGAACGTGAAAATTCGACATGTCGAGTTCAATGTCTTTCGATTTCAATTGCGAGATAAGGCAATCATCGTAATAACATTAATCGGGTCGAAAAATTCGAACGCTCGAAGCTGTTAAAATTGAAAAAAAATAAAGAGGTTGGCCGATGCAGCGTCGAGTTGATTAACTTTAAAAGCGATGAAATATAATTATCAGGTTGTGTTTCGATGGAAGCAACTCATCGGTCTTGATGATACCTATCATCGATCGGCGATCTGTCAAATTAAATCGAAGTTGAAATATATTAAGTGTTTGCTTATCGATTCTCTCTTATTTCCAGAGCTTCACGATGCTTGCGCGACTTGCCATGCTAGTGGAGTAGCGGAATCTGATTTCCAATATTGTTGCATTTTTAGGAGTCGAGATTATATCGCAATTGTATCATCATAGGTACAATCAAGTCGATTTGAGCCGAGCTCGAACATGCGTGAAGAGCGTGCACGTAATTTACTGAATCAAGCCCGTTCGTCCGGAAAAACCAAGCTCCCATTGAATTCGAGAAGACCATCAGGTCTTGATTCGTCGAGCTACTCCCACTTCAAAACAATGCACTAACCTACTTAAATCGCCTAGGTGGAGTATAATCTGTATGTGGAGAGAGAGAGAGGGGCTCCAAAAAGCAAAAAATAAAAAAGTAAAATAAAAAAAGGATTGCTTTACGTGTTAAGTGACTCCGAAAAGCAAAATATTAATAATAATAATAAATAAATAAAGGGATTGCTTTATACTTCGTATCCATTTTTAGATATTTGAGGATGGCTAACTAAACTGATGTTAATTGATCGAATGAGGACCGTTTGGCTCGCCTCGTGACGTTCACACAGAGATAAAGTGGAGTGTCACGTGACGAGCACAAGAGCGGGCACTCTCTCAGTTCCAGCTTTGAATACATATGATAGAAAAAGGAACCGCGGGTTAGTTAAAAACTATTGTGGATAATCATACCCTTTATCGCATATTATTCAAATTGGGGGGGGGTCAATTCAACCCGTGAATTGGGAGCTTCTAGATTTGATCGTGTTTCACCCACACACACCCCACGAGCATGGCCCTTCCAGATGTCTCCACTACTTTCGGATAGCGCTGTCTCAATTTCTCTCTCCCTCTCCTTCCTTTCCTCGCTTGCGTCGAAAGGGGGTTGTTGTTGGTCGGTCCATTGAAAACCTGGATAATCTTTTTTTAGCCGATACCTTTTCTCCATCGGGAGCTTCTTCATCTTTGAAGTTGGTCAACAGATAGGCTTCCAACTCGTACACACTGCACGCTCCTATGTTTGCCGGGGGCGGACGCGAGAGAGAGAGAGAGTGAGATACATTTATTTTGATAAGACTGTTCAAATGTAATTCATATAAATTGTATCGGGTTTCATTGAGATTAGTGCTCGGGTAATAGTATCGTATGCATCTTACGTACCCAATTATCTAATATGAGATCGCACTCTGATCACGAGTGATCTCGTGTGGCATTTTGGGTCTGGATTAGAGATCTTTTGGCCGTGGCTCGAGGGTTTATGGAAAACGGTGTAAATTTCGATTCTTGAACTTGTGTTGTTTTTTCAATATGGTCTTGAATTTGCAATTTTGGGGGATCAAACCCTCGAACTTGTTAACTTTTTGAATCTAAGGATGTGTTTATTTAATTGAAAATATTTAGTTTTCACTTATTTAGCGGTTTAGGAAAAGCGATGTCCTTATTACCACAAGAGGAAGTCATATTTTTTTCAAAATCTAAGTTTGTTGTTCACGGTACTTGGAAAACGTATTCCATAAATCGATTAGCTTTTCCTTTATTCAAATACCGAAAAGTTGAAAAAACTAATTCCTCGAAAATAATTCTCTTTCAAATAAATGGACTCTAAGTCCGTCAAGCAACACTGTCGCGTGAATGAGAATTCCTGCCCCACGTGAAATCTTAATCCTTAAGGTGGCAAAAGCATCATATCTTTTGGCCACCAAAAAATTACGGGATAAGGTTAAACGGGCCCCTCCTGAATTAAGGACCAGACACGAACGTGGTACCAGTTTCCAACTTGCGAAATAACAACAACCGGTCTCGCACTTTCTGTTAACCCCGTCACCCTCCAAGTGCCCGTGACCCGTGAAAACTCCAAACCGAACCGTAACGCTCCATCTGCCGACACGACCACCTTACCTTAATTTGTCTTCTTCATCGACCTCTCTTCGTATCATCCTCCCCTCTCGTCAAATTTTCCGGGAAAATGCAGAGAAAGTGAAACCCCCCTTCTGCACTTTCCAAACGTGGGCGGTGGGTCTCTGATCCCATATATGCGTGAGGATTCGGGTTTGCTGTTCTTAACTAGATTTGATCTTCTTGACTTTTGGAACTGTCAAACAGTGACGGTCTAATTTAAACTGTTTTGACGTGCTTGTTCACTCTCTTCTAGTTTTCTCTATATGATTATTCTATTATGTCTTTGTTATGGTGTTGAGCTTTAAGGTGAAAAGTGCAGATTCCTTCCCGTGTAAGGATTTGAAAATAATTAGAGGGTCAATTCGTAATCAACAACGCAAGAGGAGCGACTTGACTTCATGAACTGAATTCACGGAACTTTGATCCACAATTAGTAATCATTTTAGTAATGGTAAATGGTAATTTCTTTTTGGTTGCGTCCGTTATTTTGTACTGGTAATTCCATCATTTCATATGGAGAATTGTCGCCCTCTCTCCCTCGTGTCTTCTTACGTGAATTGTATGGACATGCTCTTCTTCCATCAAGATCTTAGAAATGGTTTCTTCTTTTTTCCGTCGACAGTGGGTACAGTGTACTGGAAGCTTTTGAGCATCCTATCTGCATTCGATAGCCCGATCTCCCGTGCAATACAACTACCGAAACACACAAGTCGATTGCTTTCTAGTCAGGTATTAATTGTGGAAGGACGGGTGATCTTAAATAACAAATCGTAATCATCATGCATATATTAGTCATTAACTTCACCAAACACTCTTATTCACATGGGATGATGACTTTGCATGGATGAGAGACACTGACCGGTAGAGTTGATTAGGTGACGGTTGAACCAGTTTCCCCAAAGTCAAAATAGCGAAAGAGTGTGAAACAAGCCGTTATCTGAGCACCGGCCAGATCCTGGATTGTTTCCAAACGGCAAAATCATAGGTCAAAAGGATCTTTCTGGTTGTGACAAAGACCAGCCGTAGATTCCCATGCACAGGATCTGAACCATCATCATAAGTTGCACTGAGATCGGGCCACATTGGTTCATGGCCCTTTACATTTTCCAGGCTTTAAGACAAAGTTTGATTTGATTTTGATGTCATTTCTTTGATCTACTATCAATTCCATTCCTGACCTAGACGATGAAGAGTCACATTCTCAAATAAGGAAGGAAATTATCTTCTAGATTGATTGTGCTTCCCCACACCCCATGAACATGGCCTTCCAAATGTCTCCACTACTTTTGGATAAAGTGCTCGTCTTTCCTCTCTTTTGTCGGTAAAGGATCGTTTGTTGGTCCATTTAAAACCAGGATAATCTTTTCGTTAATTAGCTGATGTTTTGTCCATTGAAATGTCTCACGAGAGAAAATGGAGCCTTTTTCTCGTCTTTGAAGATGAAAAAAAGGATCGTGTCGGGTTCATTTGAGCTAAGTGCCGGTGTAATAGGGTCATATGGATTCGACATACCCAATATTATTCTGCTAAGATAAGGTCACACATCGATTACAATGGATGTCGTGTGATATTTGCAATCAACTCAGCACATCACACAATCATTTCATTTTTCCCAAACTATACTCACCGAGACATATTTACTTTGAATTTTTCTTGTGATGTCAAAAACCCTAAACTATACCCACTGTGATATATTTACCATAAACTTTTTCTTGTGACAAAAAAAACCCAAACTTATATTTATGTGGCACATCGATCCTCGATCAAGGTTCTGTTAGAGAATTTTTCAGTAAAATGTCGTTTTTATTTCACTTAAGTCATATGAGCGTCATGTCAACACCGTTTGCTTTCTCAAGTTCACGTAAGCAAATTTTTAATAGTTTTTTTTTACAGAATTTTGATGGAGGATAAATGTGTTACACGGGTACAAGTTTAGGATTTTTTGTGTTACTGGAAAAAAGTATAGGGTAAATGTGTCACAGTTGCCATAGTTTAGGATTTTTGATGGCTTATTCCCCATTTTTTTTATGAGTCAACTATTTGGAAATGGCTCAATTTGTTGGTTTTCTATTGTGAATTACAATTTAAGAGGGTCTCCATTAACTGGGTTCTAATTAGAGATCTTTTTCCGTCGCTCATGGATATAAACCTTTTTTGTCCCCTTAATATAATTAGAGAAAAGGTGTAAATTCGATTCTTGAACTCGCATTGTTTCCCAATAAGGTCGTGAAAATTGCGATTCGTGGGATCAAATCCCTAAACTTGTTAACCTTTTGAATCGGCCCTTGAACTTACTCTAAGAAAACACATGTTTAGGTGAGATATGGATAATTACCAAAAGATTTCTAAACCTATAGTTCGGATGTCCACGTCAGCATCTTGCCACGTAGGAAGGCTGACCTTCTGTCCACAATTGATTGGAATGACTATATTGACGAGTCGTTAAAAGGTTCAGGACTCAATTGATAAAATTGAAAGGTATGAAACTGAATTCACATCCATACGATACGTTTAAAACTTTTTTGGTAATTTTGCCGGTAACATGACGGAGTAAAAAAAGGCAAGGAACACTTTAGCATCGATGGAAAATTTACGCTCCACATTGAATCTTACTCCTCAAGCTTTGAGGTCGCAACGTATCATAAACTCGCAAGAAAAAAATCTACAGGATAAGGTTAAACGGGCCCATCCCCTCTTGAATTAAAGACAGAGACATGAACGGAGTAGTAGCCTAGTAGGACTTTCCCACTACCTGAAATAACTACCGGTCTCGTAACGCTTCATCTGCCGACACGACCTCCTTTCCTCGTCCTCTCGCTCGACCTCTCTTGATTTCGGTATTATCTCACTCTCGTCGGATTTTCCAGGAAAATTGCAGAGAAAGTGAAACCTCCCCCTCCTTCGCTTTCAAACGTGGGCGGTGGTTATCTGATCCCAGAAATGCGCGAGGATTCGGTTTGCTGTTCTTAACTGGGTTTGAACTTCTTGACCCTTCGGAACCAGTCAAAATCGACCCGGGTTTGAGAGCGACGGTCTAATTTGAACTGTTTTTACGTGCTTATTGACTCTCTTTTCTCTATATCACTATTCTGATAGTGTCTTTCTTATGGTGTTCAACTTTAAGGTGAAAAGTGCAGATTCCTTCCCATGTAAGGAATTGAAATCGGAGGGTGCGGAATGAAGGCGACGAAGAAGTCGGAGATTCGGAATTTTTTTTTTTTATGATGTGATACTTGGATGTGGTATTGCTAATTCCATTATGTATTTATCCTTTTGGAAGGCGTAAAAATCGTTCTTATCTCAAATCCAAATCAACAATGCAAGGAAACACCTGAGCAATGGACAATATTGCCCACCAAAATATACAATCACGAGCTGAATTCACGGAACTTTGACACGCGATTAGCTATAATTTTGTATAAGGATAATTTATTTATTGTGTCCGTTATTTCGAGCAAGTAAATTCCGTCATTTCATTTGGAGAATCATCTTCATCTTCTTACCTTTTCTTATGCGAATTGCATGGGCACGTACTCTTTTCGCATCGAGAATTTCAAAAGGGTTTCCTTCTTTATTTACACCGGCAGTAGGTGTGGCATACCAGGAGCTTTCAAGCGCTCTATTTGCATGCGATTGTCCTCTGGTCTCTTGTGCGATGTAACTACTGAAATACACAAGTCGATTACTTTCTGGCCAAAGGATTCACTATGGAAGAACGGAGATCTTCAACCCTCTCGACGCCTCTAATCATGGATATGTATATTAGTCATTTACTCATAAACACTCTTAAACAATGACTTGAATTGACGAGACACCGTCGGGTGGAGGTGGTTAAGTGACAGTTAAAGCAGTTTTTCCAAAGTCAAAGTAGCGAAAGAGTGTGAAACAAGGCGTTCTCCAAGCACCGGCCAGATCCTAGGTTGTTGCCAACGGCCAAGTGGCGAAATCCTGGGTCAAAAAGGATCTTTCTGGTTGTGACAAAGACCAACCGTTATATTCCCATGCACAGAATGTGGACCATCATCATAAGTCGCAATGAGATTGGGCCACATTGATTCACGGCCC